ATTCTTTCTATTTATTACACTTACTGTTAGCACTTCCAAGCTGTTTGAGTTTGAACTAGCCATCTAAGAGAGAAAATACCTCCACCACCTGCAGAGTCTTTTCTGACCGGACTTTTGCCATGCATCGCAGGCTGGGGAGCACCAGACCCCAGGCGTGCTAGAGGATGCTGGCCCTGGACCTCCGTCTGCTGAGAGGTCGCCTGCCTGCGGGCACTCCTGCACCAACATGCAGACTGCAAGGAGCATTGCCTGGCTAGAGCAAGTGAGCCATACTGGAGGCAAATGCTCTGCTTAATTGGTCTCAGCTGGAAGCTGCTCTGTGCATGTCAGCATGTTTAAGGAAGCAGGTCTACAGGAGAGAAGACACCAGAATAACCAATTAAAGAAAACCCCTGATTTCCCTTTCCCTTCTCTCCCAGCCCTAAACCCTGAAAGTTTGTTTTATTTTAAACAAGGAGTGTTTCTCACTGTCTAGGAAATCAGCTCAAGAATAAGGCTTTGCTATTGGTATTTCCAAGTTTAATACTGACAGCACTTGTGGAGATAAGTAAAGAGACCTGGTTAAATCAAGTCAAGGTTTGAACTTTTATGTCTCCATTTTAATTTTTTTTTTCTTAAAAAGAGGAAAGAAGTGACACAAGAAAACTCTTCATCCAGTTCAAATCCAAGTTTATTAGCCTGTAAAAGTCTGTTTCCACACAGTAATCATAAGAAATGAATGAATGTTTATGGAGCAGAGCATAAAAATATACCAAGTCAGCCATAGGTTGGAGTTTATGATTGCTCACAAAAATTAATCATCAGATCACATGGTATTGCATCAAAAAGGCAAATCAGTCCTAGGAATGCAAACAATCAGGATAAAAAGGCAAAACAAGTAAGAGCAGAATATTAGAAAGCAATAATTAGTTCACAGTTTCTAATGGGGGTGACAAATTTCTTTAGATCAGGTTATTTACCCCACTAATTCTCCAAAAACAGGTTGAAAGCCAGTCATTACAATTTTGCATTAATCAGCACATTCTCGGTCAACGTATCAGCTGGTCAAATTCACTATCAATCTCTAGGTATGACTATTAAAATGTAGGCATGTAAGAGACTAGGCATACTCAACAGTACTTCTCCTAAAGCCTGGTGGCCTCAGACACTCACAACTAGAAATCAGAAGCTAACATGAGACATGTGGATTGAGATATTCTAGTCACTGTCTGGAAGTGTAAACCTTCTGTTCCCTTAAAAACCCTCCAGCGTACTATCTACTTCATTAGATCTGGGGAGGTTCACCTCTCTCCTGGGCAGAGCAAACCTGATTCCCTGGCAGGGGAAGGAGTGTTGGATATCTTGGCACAAACTTGTGTGTGTCGCATCTACCAGGGAGGCGGTGGTGGGAACATCACCCACTGGGTCCTGTTTGCTTTGGTGTTGACCTTCTGTAGGGTTGTGTCTGATTGCCAAGCTGATGTATGCACTTTGCTCGCAAGCTACATCTGATGCAGAGAATACGAACGTTAGGAGATCTGGGAAAGCAACAGGGGGTTCTGACCTGGGCTCACTCTTCTCTCTCTCTTTCCAAAGGAAAATGTCTAGCCAAAAAGAGATGTATATATTTCTTCTAATGTTTTGGGGTTTCCTGAAGATGTGCAGAGGGTTAGTGTTATTACCTCTGTAAAAAGAGCAGATTTAAAGGAGTAAGGGAAGAAAGGTGTTTTCTTCTCAGATGTAGGATGCTTAAACACATCATAAACCAAGCTGGGCAGAACCGCACTGAATAATCAATCTGGGCTCTGGCTAACATCATGACACCTGCAGATCTTTCTACAACAATTCTGCTAAATTATTTTTTAGCAAAGATCCTTGACTCTGCAAGTCAAAGGGGCCTTATACAGGCCAGTGAACCCACAGTTACAGCATCTTCTCTTATGAGGAAGTCCTATTAGACTAAGAAGTACCTTCAAAGTTTCTTTGGAAATTAACCCACTAAGGCTAATTTCTGAAACCCCTTTTTCAGAGAAAAGGCAGTAGCATGACAAACTATTCCTGCTTCTTAAATTAAGAATAATGTGATAATCCTTTAATATTGTTTGAAAACTTAAAAAGAGCAATGGAAACACTTCCTGAACATAGCAGCTTCTTTAGGCAGTCTGGATCCTTGCCTTGCAAGATTACAATTTGCTACCCGCATTTCATTCATTCTGCCTGTTTTAGGCAAAACTGCCTTGCTGAGGGACCCAGCTACCAGCTGAACGTGTCCAGACTAAAAACCAAACGGCAAACAGAAACAAAGCTACAGTGAGAGCGGATCCCAGAATCTTTGCTGATGCTGCACTTCATCTTTCTTTCCTCAGATAGTTCCAGTGGTCTCAAACTTTATTGTATGTTCTGCAGTTATTACCAAGATGATGTATTTCTTACCTTTATAGATTTTGGGACCATCTATTTGCGCTCACCGCACTCTGCTGACTGAGTAGATCCTTATAGCAAAGTAAGGCAGAATTTATAACTAAGTCGCCTATGTAATATCCTCCAATTTCACAAGCTATCTAGTAAAGCCCATGGGAATCTGGGGAGGACAAGAGCCTCCCAGAAGGCATGTTGCCCTGTATCACCAGACTCTTTATAATTTCAGACTTGTTTCTTGGAAAAATATGACAGAGCACTGAAATGGCTAGTGGCAAAACCAAATTGAGTCCAACACAGCCTAGAAGAATGGAGCTTCCACAAAAAAAGGATATTTTCCTTCCTTTTAATAAGCTCAGTAATGAGTTTGTCAGATTTGGCTTTGAAGAATTACCTGCTTGTTGTCCAGGGTTTGTTATTTTTTTTTTAGATTTTCTTAATATTAAACATTAAAAGCTATAAAAATCTAGAGGTAGTTTTAAACAGTAAGGTTCATATCTGGGGCAAGTATTTCTCTGGAGCTGAGGGACGTTTTTCATTCAGACTGGTATAAAACAATACTTGAGGGGGAAAAAAGTTGAAAGAGAAAGCATTAAAGGAATAGGAACTCAGAGACCTCTTCCTGCTTCCAAATCGACCATCTCATGAAATGAGTATATTTCCTCCCTGTGAATTCTATATTTAATCCAGAGAGATCACTGACTACGCCTGAGCAACCTGGCAGCCCTTTTCCTCCTCTTCAAACAGACCTCAAGATTCACTCTTGGCATTGTCTAATGAACGGTCTACATCTCCCAAGAACATATATCCTTACGGATTTCAATGAGAGCAGACAGGATCAGTGGGAAATGCACTTCTATTCCTTTCACTTCTGTTGCTTTCTTTAAAAAACAAAAGGATACACCGAGGCTCCCCCTGGAAAATCAGTTGGCATTGAAGGAATCTCACAGACCAAAGGACCTACCTCATGTTTGAAATCCTTTCAAAATCCTTTTTTGGTATGTAAGAGTAGATATTCTGTTTATTAAATGAATATTCACAGAAAAATTACATTCCAAATTTCACCAAAATCAGGTGACATGCTTCTGGCATTGTCACCAACTCTCCCACCTATCTGAAGTTGCTTTAATGATGGCAAGTAGTTTGGGGAAATAAAATGGCAAGAGGAAACCATTTCCTTTGTTACATGTGGTTTATAAGGCAGGTAAAGAGAAGAACTTTGAACTGAGAAGCAGTAAAATAAAAAGGAAGATATTACTGTCATTCTCTCACAAACCATATTTGTAATCCCAAATACTCCAACTGTAACAGGATGATCTGATCTAAGGACTATTGTTTGTTGCAAGAGTTAAAGATGAGATTTCACCTTTGAATGCTTTTCCCTACAAAGCTACTGATTTATCACATCAATCTCACCAGTCCACTCTTTTTATACAACAGAGGTCTGTGTTAAAGGGTTGAAGGCTTTTCTGCAAACTGTCTTGCTCCTACTTCACTAACCTTTTTGTAGCCTCAAAAACTCAACATAAAATTCCTAGTCTTAAAAAGGCAGGTTTTTTTCTGTTATTTTAAAAAATCCAGAGTAAAATGTTACCTTCAGGTATACAGCTTACGGGGTTTCTATCAATTGCCAATGGAGAAGGAATTAGTTTTGTAGCTATTGTACAGTCACTTCATAAGCATTCATTCCCATACACAAGACTGAGGTCAGCATTTGGACCTTCTTGCTCATTTTGAGAATTCTTTTTCAAAAAGGTTTTCTTTGTTTAAGATCCCACAAACAAAACCTGTTTATGGAAAAAGAGAGATATTTTGAATACTAAAGTCCTTTATTCAACAACACAGAAATATCACAAAAACAACTTTACTGGGCAAATTGAATGTTTTTATACAGTTTTGTACATGCCCCATAAGTGATTATTTTTTTTCATAAATACACTGTTTTCCAAAACTGTTTTTTTTCCATAATTGCACAAGCATACATACACCTTACACAAATATCTATTAGAAAATTTAATAGATAACTGCACAGTTCAGAAATAGGAGAACACTGTGAAAGGAGTACATTTCTGTGGCCCGTGTTTCTGAAAAAACCCTCCTAGTTTCCTGCAATTGTGAAAATGGAGTACTTTCTAACATAGGAGCTGTCTTTTATTCACTAAGAATACAGTAGAGCTCAGCGTGAAACTGCCAAATTTAATAAAAACAAAATCTGAAACATTTAGCTGTTACATGAGAACCCACTGTTTGATATCACTATGCATCTAACCATGATCAAAGACCCACTACTGCTTTTTGCTGAATGCATTCGACCCTGAATGGTATGTTCATTTAACTACTTTCTTTCTTCATTATTTGATTACAGATATAGCTCATTTAAAGACTTTATATTTTTTAACATTAATTGTAGGACTTACATACCAGGGGTTCTGTACAAAAGGGAGTATTTTCCCTCATAGGGAGGGTCTGTTATTAATTGACAGAATGGGAACATGTGCCTCCCTTTCAGCCTTACCATTTTTCATAAGTTTATCTGGGGTATGCCAAAAATGCTTCCATTAGGCTTAATGCTCACACCTAGAAGATGGTGAAAGTATGTTCTGCTTTTTTTTTTTTTTCTTTTTTTTTTTTCATTGTGAGAATGAAAGACATAAAGGACTACAAATTCTCATACTGGAAAATGGGTTTGGACCTTGTGAAAAGGTCCATTTACAAATTTAGTAATTAGAACTTGACAATAATCCGATTGGCAAATATGTGTATAAATGGGGAGGGGGTAGGGCTAGGGTGGAGAGAGACAGGCCAGAAAAGGGATTTCCTTCTTCAAACATCACTAATTAAAATGTTCTATGTGCACTACATCATATAAATAGTTTCAGCAAAATCTAAAAATCTGATGGTGCAAAGGAACAACATCCAAAATAAAAACCAGATGGGTAAATCAAAGAAAAATCAACTCTTATTCATTTTCAATAATTAACAGGTTTGCTTGTTTGTTTGTTTGTTATAACAATTTTGATTGACATGTAAAACACCACAATTACAATATACAGATCCATCAGTTCTTTAAAACAAAATGACAAAACAAAAAAAGAAACCACATCAAGACATGCAACATTAGGGTATTAGACAGTAAGTACATCGCTATGAATATCTTTGTACACCTAATGTAGCCTGAACTTAATTTTGTCTCTCTTCTGTAAGAGCAATCACAATTTTCCAAAAACCAAGGCAAGCTTACCAGCCAGATGTGCAAATAAGGCTTCAGTTTGTAAATCAATCAGCATTTTGGTAGCAAAAACCTTACAGAGCTTATATTGGTCTCGTGGTCAGTAACAGAGGCCCTAACCCAAAAGTCCCCAACACAAAAAAAATCCATACACGGTTGCCATACAAACAGATGTAAAGCTCATTGACTGCATGGGTATTGGATGAGTATTCAACTGAGGATCTCTTACAAACTGTAAGAGGGGCAGCATGACAGAAGCATTTTAAGTGTGACATTCAATCTCTGAAGCCGTATGTGATGTCATACAACGCAAAAACGTAGAGACGTGCATCAACCCTAAGTTGAGGACGCGGTGCAAGCCCAGCCCTCCCACGCTCCTCCAGTTACACCCAGTCACCCACGCTCGGCCTGGCCCTGCTGACACACACATGTGACCCCAGGAGGCTTCTTTCTCCTCTGCCACCCCTCCATCTTCGCTTTCTGGGCCATTCCCATAGCCACCACTCCTGAGAGTTCCCTCCCCTGCCAAAGACAGCTTCTCCCAAACCTGCACAGGTTCCACACAGCGGCGCTCCCAACCATCCCGTGTGCTTCACCAAGTGAGTGTGACCAGAGGCCAAAGGCTGACAGACTTAGCGAAAAACAGAGAAAGTGCTGAAACAATAGGAGATTTGAACATGCTGTGCATCGTTAACTGGTTATTTCCAGGTGCAGCACCTTGCCTGTGAAAATACTGGCAGTCCTATCTTGTATAAAATGATAAATCTATCAAATACATTGCACAACAGCATTGCTTACTTTGATGAGATGGCCGCAATGTGACAAACCCAAGCAATAAAAAATTATGATCAACTGATAATAAGTATCCCTAAGTCCAGTATCCTCCGTATTTTTTCCATGTGAGTTACATCCCTCCATGCGCTGCCTTTTCGAGGAGTAGACATTTCCTCTGTGCAGCTAGGGCAGGAAGAAGAACGGCGGAGCATTCTTCTGGGGGCCTAAGGGACCAGCTGTTCAGCAAAGCCGAGATCAGTGGACCAAGAAACGTGTGGGGAGAAGTGGTCTCTCTCTTAAACATTTTTTTAAAAAAGTTCATTTTTATACCGCAAATATCCAGACTCTCAAATGAACACAAGTGCAAGTGAGATCCAAACCAGTCCAACTGTCAAAACTCACTTAACTGTGAAGAGCTCCACTTGGACCAAAAATATGGCATTCCACTTTATTTACTCCATTGACTGAAAACATTACATAAGAACTCATAAGTGAAGGGTAATTAGGCTGAGTCATCATTTTTTCTAAGGTCTCATCCTCACTTTGTTTTGCATCCTAGAATAACCTTGATATAGACAACTGTTTTTCGCACATCTGCCTATGCTGGGCACTCCACCTCAGAGCACAGTGAAAAGCAAGTCAGACACCAGACAGCATTTTTGGAGAGATACCCCTCTGTAAAGCTCCTTTGGAAGCAATGCAAGTGCACAAACCACTACTCTAATATAGTGCTTGAAAGATTAATTTTAAATGTTATGTCTTCCCCTCTTATACCACCACAATGGAAGGTAATTGCTAGATGCATCACAATCTTTTCATCTTGGAAAACTTGGCATCAAGTCTCTATGGAAGGATGCATGGTAAAACAGTGCTGCTGTTGTTGTTGCTGCTAAACAACTAGCAAAATAATAGTTAAAGCTAGAATTTATTGCTCCGGATTTAACTCGCAGAACCACACTGTTGAGTACAAACCGTTAATCTCCATAGATGCTCAGACATGATTGTCTCCTTGTGTCTAAACACACAAAATACAAGCGGCTATCTGTACAGTTTACAGTACTGAAACACATATATTTGAAAATGAAGTATAGATATGTTACTTTTCAAAGATACATGACTTTATAGCAGGGGTTTACCCAAACTTTTTTTTTTTTTACAGCCACTTTAAAAATAGACAACAACTTCACTAGTATAGCTAAGTTACATCAAAGAAAGAATCAGTGTACTGAGTGTGAAGAAGCTGGCCAATTCCCCAGGCTCCCAGATTTTTGTCTTTTGCTTTTGAGGAAACCCCTATACATAAATGAAAATAGTATCTGAGTATATTCTTCAATGGTGGACTAAGCAGTTTCTTAAAACAAGACTTTAGCTTGCCATTCACTTCGGACTGCCTTGAAAATAAGATACACTACTGCTTAAAAGAACCATCGGAATGCTTCAGCGCTGGGAACAGGTGTTCTCTAAAAAAAAAGCAAGAAAACAAGTTAAGCTTTCTTTTGCGGTATTGGCATACTCGAGTTCTTCTAGTTGTTCTTTTCCTTTACATTTTAGGCATACTTTCAGTTATCTAGGAACAACATGATGCCTTACATTGCTTGATAATGAATAGAAACATCCTTTCTCCAAACACACACCATTTTAGAATCACACGCGATACATCGTACTCAGTATGTAACACACCTAACATGCTGTCTTCTCTTTAGTTAGTTAAACAAGGCAGTCATGGAAAAGTAAACATTGCTAGAAAAAAAATCTCCTGCAAAAAAAGACAGAACTTTTAGAATAACCACACACTTGTACAAAGGTCTCTGCTTGTGCCTTGGCATATTGGATGCGCAGTTAGGGCTTGGTGGGTTTGCAGGTTAGACACACACTTTGGCAGGAACCCTTCTTTTGATACAGGAATAAGGAAGGCATTAATCTGTCACTCAAGAAGTGTACTGTGTCTACAGACACCTCAGAAGTGGAGGTCAGCATTTTCAAACCTCAGGCCAGCCACCTCATTCCATGTTTAGGTTTCAATGCAGAAAGCACTTAAGCACATCCTTGACTTCAGACAGCTCATGTACTTTCTTTTGCACACATGCTGGACCTTGGTTTACATAGAAACAGTCTACTTGCAGAGATACCCTCCCTCCTTTCCCCACCTGTTGTCCCCCTGAAAATGATGCCCACATGCATTCAGGTGCCTCCATACACATTTGAGTACAAGCAGATTCCCTTCCAGCTTTAAAGTATAACATACATAGGAGACAGAGGTGCTGAGCCTCCACAGGCTGTGAGGTACTTCTCGCCCTCAATTTCCTTCGAAGTCCTAAGATAATGAAAGTGCCCTTGAACCCATACATCTAGAGCCACATGCCTCTCCTCCGGAACTAATGATGATGCACTGACCAGGGAGGTGAGAGCAAGCCCCGAGATGAGTTTATATCAGTCAGTCCCAGTGCAGAAGTACCTGTTTCATTAAGAACTCCCCACAAGTAGTAGCATCACATGCGCTGAAATTCCCCTCAAAGCAAAAATTCTGAAAATTTGCTAATAAATGAAAGAGTTCTCAGTGATTTTGCTGGTGCCATATATAAATACCATGTCTCTTTTTGAAGGAATTCTTTCATTTTTTGTTTCAGGGAGGACCTTTTAAATGTTTTCCTATTTTTTCCGTAAAAATCCATGGACCCTACAGTGTACAGTGTGCATTGTACTTGATGACAGAATATTTCTCTCTGAATTCCAGGGAACTGCTCATTAGTATGGCAAGTATTTTTTGTTGAATAATTAGCCCATTTTGTGATAGTCAGGTTCAAGCGGTACACAGCTCCTCTTTTTGTAAAGGCTGTATGAAAGGGGAGCTCTTATTGTTATGTTTATCACTAGTGCCCATGGAAATACCAGAGCTGAAAGTACTGCTGTGTCACCAGAATTCTGACCTGCGGTCAATTCAATACTCGCTCCCCCTCTGAAAATGTTAGGCTTTAATAAATCATCTGAAAATTAACTTCTAGAGACAATGAGCTGGTTTGTTGAATGCAGTCACCCTGAGCAGTCTGAGTTTTCTTTGTGTCAGTTGTCCAAAAGTAGGCATTGCTCATATCCATCTTTCCCAGTCCCTGTTCCGCCCTGTTACATGTGTCTTAGCATGAGCGCAAGTGGTAAAAAAGCACAGCAACCCTCCTCCCAAGGTATGCCGAGGAGAACTAGTGCAATTGCTAGACCATCCTCACCGGTCTGTGTGGGCTGTAAGATGGCTGCTGAGAGCGAGGTATACAGATTTATAATTTATAAAGAGGTTGACTGCAGAAGAGGCTGGAGTTTGGAATGACAGGAAACAAACACACGACTAAACTGACCTCAAAAGAACACCCAAACATACAAATGTATTAAACAATAGATTGTCTTCACCTGAAAACTAAAAGTAATACTCCACTGTGGGTCCATCTGCCTAAACACAAAACCACAGCTAGACAGAGATTTAAAGACATAGTGACTGAGATGGCCTTTATTTATTTTCTTGCAGCATCAGGTTGAGTTACTGTCAGACGTTGTCATATCAGCTGGAAGTAAAGGTGCAATGTCTGATTAAAAGGTCATTCAGACCTTTAAATACAAGGAATAATATTTCTGAAGGGCAAAGCTGTGGTTTAATATGTGTGCTTTTGAAAAACTACGAGATAAGGAATTCTGCATCTGCGTACCAAGTTCTAACTGAAGATATACATTTACAATTAAATATCCATTGCACTAACACCTGATTTGGGAATGAATTGTTAATCCACGCTTAAACAAAAAAGAAAGCTTTTAAAATTGAATAGGTGGATCGAGCTAAATCTAAACCAATTTATACAATGAAATACATAGATTTTACCATTCTAAGAATCAAGGTTATTTCCAGACAGAAAGACCCTTCAGCCCATTTAGTGGTTCAGCACACCAATGTACAAGCTTAAGTGCAATGACCATCTACTGCCTAGCTGTATAAATCCGGGAGTCCCAGCTGGGGAATCAAACTCTCGGCAAGATTACAGTGCGTTTCTGGATCTCTGTGCTGCTGGCGGGGAATCATTATCCTGAGTGACAGGAAAGACAGATTCCCCTGGAAGCCTGGGGAGGGGTGGCAAGGAGCAGAACCAGAGCTGATCAGCGTGGTTTTCCTGTAAAAGCCTTCACTGCTCGTGCTGGTGCAAATGCTGACAAACAGCAGGCTCGCTCCCAGGAGGATTCTCAGAAACCCGCAGCCCCGGCTTCTCCAAGCAGGTAATGCCATAAAGCGTGGTGCTTGAGAGAATTTATCCCTGCACAAATCTGGTACGAAATGACCTCCACGCTTTCAAACTCTCTATTCTGTTCCCTCCTTGCCAGTTTTCACTGCAAAAGGAGTAGCTCAAACATTTGAAAATTTAATTGTTGCCTTAAAAAATCAGTTTCACATAGGGAACCAAGCGCACTACATTTTTGGAGGAGGAGGTAAAAGAGGCAACTGAAACCAACAGAAGAGTGAAAATCCCTTCAATTAAGCATAATGGAAAAATGATACCTACGTATCCATCCTGGTTGCCCCACGTAGAAATGTAAAAGCAGACCCTTGCTACATGTGTGCGCGCGCACACACTGCCAACACATGAAAACCGCACGCTGGCAGGTGCTGTAAATTCCTCACCAGAGACTCTGTTTCGACAGCTGAGCTCTGCATTTTCACAGCAAAAGCATTCATTGAAGAATGATGCCTCCCACAGCCCCCCGGGGTGACCGACCAACTGATGGAGCAAGGCGTGGGCTGCCAGACAGCAGGCTCTGCTCATGCAAGGCCCACCTGCTTGCCCAGCCCAGGCCCATCCCTTGGCAAGCTCATGCCTACAAAACCTGCTGGAGATGCCTCTCTCCTTGTCAATCTGAGTCTCACAGCTCGCAGCCACCTGAAAGATTTGGTATGGAGATCAGGAAAGTCAGCCGCTCCAGCTTGGGATGCTGTTGCTTGGGGTGCCACCCAAATTCACAGCTGCATAACCAAGACTCACTGTAAGTCATCTGTATTATTATTTTCTGCAAGGCTAGGGAATTGCTTGGGTTGAGGTGAACCACATTCAGAAATAAAATAGAATAATAAAATATATCAGAGCGCTACATGATTATGACCTAATACTTTACCGATGTTAAAAGATGTTGCATTATGTAAGAATCTTTTGATGTTTGATCCATGAGCAAAAATCCTGTTCTCATTGAAGCAAACTCACACGTTGTCTACAGCAAATTATTGGCCAGATGCAGCATTCCTCATTCATTTTGAGGAGTCCTGGCTGAAACGATCCAGCTCAACAGAGGCCCTTTGGGAAGTATATTGCAGCTGAGGTGCATTCAGCAAGATCTGGGCTACCTGTCAGTCTGTACAATGACCTATACAACCACAGGAATATTTAGCAGTGAAGCAACTTTGTCCTTAATGATTCTCAAACTCGCATGGCAAGGCAAATGAAACCAGTGGATTTCCCAAAGCAGCTGGACTGGTGCTGACCACATAGGGAAAAACGAAGTCTGCACAGAACCCTGCATGAGCTTCTCACCCTGGAGAACAATCCTTTCTTGAAATGCCTCCTACAAAAGGAGCAGTTTGACACTTAGGCCAGTGGATGTATAGCATGAAATTTGGCCCACTAAGTTATATACAAATACATGTGTGTATGTATATCTCAATATACACATGTATGTACATATATAGATACATGATCAGAGATAAAGAAATATGGTGCTCCATGGCAACCAAAAAGTTCTCTGGAAAGTCACAGACCTTGCACGAAATGCAATTTGGATCAGTCGGTAACCCAGCACAGCAAACACTGACCACCACTGGCCATAAACCAGTGACCATATGCTTTTCTTACACCGTGGCGAATGTGGGCTACAGACCTAATCAGGCCCACAAAACTCACACAACTGCCAGAGAGAAAGAAAACTGGCCTTTGCTCCACGTCACGCCTTGTATTTCCAGTGCTGCAAGCTATTTCAGGTGTCAGCTTGACCGTGCTGGAAATTATGTCAAATATACACACAGTGTTGCTCTGACATAAACAGCGCAGGATCTGGTGCAAATCCATCCCCAATTTCCCTCTCTGGAAAGACCCTTCCCCAGCCAAGTGCTGGGCTGCAGGGCTCACATGGCCATACAGACCCAGACTCACGGATGGAACGGGGCTGTGCGTCTCACTGAGACGTGTCAGCACCCAAAGGAGCAACGCAATCTCCTGACCTGCAGAGCAACACCATCTCCTGACCTGCAGAGCAACGACATCGCCTGACCCACGGAGCAACATCATCTCCTGATCTGCAAAGCAACACCATCTCCTGACCCACGGCGCAACACCATCTCCTGACCGGCAGGCAGGAGCCCTCCCTGCCTGGCAGAGGCAGCCCGCCGGCTGGCAGGTGAAGGATGCCTGTCACCTCTCCCGCGCCAGCCTGCTCTGCTACCAGTGAATGTGGTCTGGACAGCATCTCCCCTCCTTACTTGCCTAAATAACTGAGCCACCCTGAGAGGAAAGCAGCCTTTGAAAGTATCTATGGCCCACTTTGTTCCGCTCATAAATATACATTACCTACAGCAATGACTTTGGGGAAAACCTCCTGATGATCAGATTCAGCTCATACAGAGTCTCCCTGAATGTTTCTCTTCAGGAAAGGAGGCTTGGGGGCAAGAATCTGGTGTGTGAATGACATCTCCTGGAAATACGGAAGGAAGAAAAAGGCAGAGCCCAGTGCAGGGCACGTTTCTCCCAGCCACTCCGCTCCCTGTCCCAGAGATACGATGAGAGTCCCACCGCATCGGCACCGAGTGGGCCGGCTGTGGCTCCCGCACACGTCGCAGGTGGCTTCGGCACACGTGCATGCCAGCTGGCACCGGAGAGCTCCATGTGGGAACAGCCCGCGCCTCAAACTCCTGGCGTCCTCCCACCCAGCCGCAGACCCACAGGAGGGACACGCCAGCTCTGGACGAGGTGTGAAACAGTCCACGAAGCTGCTGCTCCCCACAGCTGCCAAAATCCCTGGCTGCCCACCGACGCTGCGCTCCTGCTCACTGTACGTGTTATCAGGCGGTAACAGATGTCCTCTAATAACAAGCTTATTATTGGACTTAGCAGATAAAAAGGGACACGTATGCCAGGTCAGAAGCTTGGTGGTGAGTTTGCTTCCATAGCCCACCTTAAAATATCTCTCCCCATACCTGAGCTACAGGCCTGTCTCCCTTCATACCAAGGATGAGATTGAACATTTATTTTAAAAGTCAGCTTTATTTGCTCCAAGAGGACATGCATCTGCATGCTGGCAGTTATTTTTCCACTTGCGCTGCATATCTCTCAGGCCGTATTTGAGACAAACCAGATTTAGAACATACCAGATTAGGAAACTCATTTGACTTTCACTGCCGCCAGCTCCACCAACTGAAAAGTAAATCTTCACCATGGGACACTGCAAATAGAAATTTTTTTAATGTACTCCTAAGTTGGGGTCATGCTTTGAAAACCCAGATCCTGTTGAATAGCTCACTCACTGGTAACCTCAGGAGATTTCAGTGGAGCTACCTGGGGAATAAACTATTTGTGCCACAGTCATGGAAACCTGCCACTGTAGGGCCAGATCCTGTCACTCGGACTTGACTGACTGCAGGCAGCAGTTCCCCAACTCAATCAATAGGATTAGTCTGAGGAGTAATGTGTTTCTCCATAGGAGAAAGAACAAGCAAATGTGTCCCTCCTTTACATTCAGTACACACCATTTTATAATTTTTTTTTTTTCCCAGTTTATATATGAGATTAAATTTGGGGAATGGGTAAACAATTTCACTTTTTTGATCTGAAAAAAATGCATAACACCATTGGGGAAAACAGATGGCAAATACAGATCAGAAATCATAAGGAATCCAGACTAACGCTGTCGAAGAAAAACAGCTCAGTCCCAGGAACTGTTAGTGACAGAGCCCCCCTCCATGCCAGTGAGCACCTACAGTTAAGAGCAGCCACACTAGCTTTCAGCGGTGTGGCTCACACGCTCCACCAGCAGCCTTGAAATCCCCAGGGGCAGCTTGAGCCGCTACACATTGCTTGCACCCAGGCAGGCTGGCAGGCACAAGCATCGCCCCAGGATGCAGAGAGCCCTGGAAAGGAGCACATCTCCTCTCTCCCTTCCCTGCCCGGCTGGGAGTAATTGGCTGCAGTCACCTTCCAGCACACTCCCTCCCTTGTGCCAGCGCAGCTCTTTTGGCCAGCAAGCCGAGGGACAGAGCCAAGTCTCCACCTCTGCTGTCCCACTGGCTCCCGAGGGGAGCAGCCAGCTTGGCCGCCGGCTTCCCCGTGCCTGGCACCCCGCGCGTGAGGCTGGCAGCACTGGACAACCCGGGGTCGGGAACTCCTCCTGCCATCTGCTACCCTGCAGCCGTGTTCCAGCTGGCTGCGCTCTGGCCTCAGACGGGGGCTCCTAAAGGCTTTCTGGCAAAGGCAGAAGCAAAGACATCAGAGGTTTGGGTTTTCAGGTTAGGGGTCTCTCATATCTCACTGCCAAAGGGATTCACGTTTCTTCCCCTGTATCTATATCCCTCTCGAGCAGTTCTTGCAGTTCCGTCGTTTTTTGCAGCTGTTCCTGTACCTGAGGATGGAGCTGCTAAACCCACTAGAGTGCATATTCAGTGTATGTGACTATTTGGGGTTTTTTTTATTTATTATTTGCATTCTGGCGGCATTTGAAGGCCTCAGGCAGGATGAGGGATTGTTTCTGTTGGTTCTGCCTGCCCGGTGCCTCAACCAGTAGGTCTGGCCTGTCTCCTGCTTTTTCAGGGATGGGGAAGGGATTGTACAAGCTCTAACACAGTGTTACTTTAGAGCCAAGACTGATGCTAAGCAGGTCAGAAAAGCTGTCACTCAGTGCTCCCATACTGACTGTGGGAATTAGTATCAAATAGCCAAACATTTTATTAGCATAAAGCAGAAACCTTTTTTACTGAGAAAAGTTTTATAGAGAAATTCTTGGATACAGGTTTGTTACCACCACACAGCATAAAAACCAAGACCCTACAATGCAAAAGACACTAAAAATGAAATATCCACCCCGCTGCTCAGCTTCTGCTTTCACCTAGGACCCGCCTGGTGACTTCTGCTGACTCTCCTCTGTCAAACATTATCAACTAGAAGCGTGCCTGCCTTCTGCAATGGATGCACCACGTGCATACATCTCCCCCTCTCTCACACACACACTGCCATTCACCTCCCTAATCAAATCCCTGTGAAGACCATCCATCAGTCCCTATCATTTATCCTTCCCACACACACAAGCTCACAAAACCAAATTATTCTTGTTAACATTCATTCCATTAATGAGAAATCCCTGCTGGTTCATCATCTAGTGGTACAAGTCTTTGCACTCACAGGCTGACATCTCTATCAGCCTCCAAACTGCTGCTCTGGGGTACAGCAATCTCCTATGGACTGCTCTCCAAGCCGAAGGGAGGCTTGTTTCTCAGGACCAAACCTAAATTTAAATCCTTTTCCCTTAGAGCTGCTGGTGCTTCAGCATCTTTTTCTCCTGCATGGAACCTAAAATCAGCTATGATGCCTCATTGGTTAGCTAACTGCTTCTGTCCTTTGGGATTTTTCATACACCGTTGATAAAAGAGCCAGTGAAAAATATATCCGTTAAATGCTTGGCCTCTGCTTGCTTGTTTCTTTTTCTGCAAAACTTGGAAAAAAAAAAAATCACTCAAATGCAGTACTCAGTCAGTTACCTGGGTTAAGGGAGTATGTTCAGCTGGTGCCTAAGACTCATCACAGGTGTGAGCTTGGCTCTCTCCCAGCCAGTGAGCACCACGTATCGTCCAATTAGATGCAGGGAGGGGAGCAGCAATGCAAACTCTTATACAGCAGGTCACCACAATTCCTAACCGGAGGGGAAAACATTAAAAGATTGTAAATGGCTCTGAACCCCGTTCATTCCTGAGTATGTCTTCTGAAATTTTCAAGGATGATAATTAAGACCCATCTCAGTGATTATTTTCATGACACTGCCACCTCCACTGGACTTTGACCTCCAATTTATTTTACATCAGCTTCCAAGCAAGCAGCCAACTGTGATCTTTGCCTCCCAGAGCCTAGATGAACTGATGATTTAGAGGGAATGGGTTTTACATCATTACTAAGCTTGTGCCATCGAGTCTTCTCCCACCCACACCCTGGTGGGTATTCTATTCAAACCCACAACCCTTCAAAATAAATTTTCTCCTCTTCTGCTCACTCTAAAACCAATGGCCTTTGACTGACATGACTCACTTTGGAGATCACATATTTGACAACATCTACTCCCTGCCTCTCCTTTCCCATTTCTGGCCTCTTTAACTGCACCACGATAATCACGCTCTGTCCTCCTAGTACCTTCTACACAGATGGCTAGAGCTCTTCAGCTCTCTTCCAAGGTCAGTGCACCACCTCTTCATCCCCACCCAGCAGTTAGGATGTGTAGAAGGATGGATGTTACTGAACCGCAGTCGGTTTAGGGTATTTATTTTGTGATGATGGAGCAAATTCCTTGTGTTAACACAGTGCAGACTGATGTGCTGTCAGCATGTTCTAGCTTCCCTAGGACACAGAATACACACCACAGAGAAACCTCTAAGTCCAAGCAGTCCTTGTGCAAAAATCATCATTTTCAGCCTGTCATTTGCCAGAATCCCCTCCCTCTTTCACATTTGTCAATCTGTTTGTACATACTCCTTTATCATTTCCTTAGCTCTCAGACAACTTGTTCGGATCATGTGACTTCTCCCATACCATGTGCTCACCCCGGTACCCATATTTTCTCCATAAATTCTAGTCAATTTAAAAAATGAATTAAAGAAACTAGATTTCCCTATCAACAAGAGCATGTCAAAAGCCTTGCTCACCCTCATCAAGGTCCCCTTCTGCTGTATCGGGTCTTGGCCTTCCCCCAGAGAAGTGCTAGGATGATGGTTACTGGTGAGCTCTTCAAGTGCCTTACCTGAATTACTAATAGCAAATCTCTTGCTCACAGCAGCAGATATATTCCATGCTCTTTGGACCAGGGGAGACCTCACCACCATTTTCAGCACTACTGCTGTACCCCTGCTTTCAGCAAATCACGTCCAGTGCTCGGTTGGTCTGCCCCATGGTAACTGACTCCTACGGAGGAGCAGGCACCCTCTCACCAAGGCTTTGCACGTTATAACCAACCCTCCACCACTTTTGTGTCCTTCTCTGAGTGCTCTGCAGCTCCTCTTTCCTCTTCCTCTGTCCTCACCTTAAGTGATATCCATCCTGAACTCTCTAGGATTTCCCATAATTTTCTAGTGTTAATGTTACATTCCTCCCTCCACCCAAATTCTAATACTGCTTCTCTGCTTCCTAACAGCTGTACAAATAACTCCTAGTCAACTGAAGTCTGATACCAGTTAACGGTGTTCCTACATAGAAATACAACAGACACATCAGCCACAGCAGTCTGGAATTGAAAGGAACACTGTCCTGAGACAGGAAAGGTGCAAAGTTTTAAAATGTCCAACACTTCAGAGACTGAGATAAAAGAAAATACTGGGTAGAGCAGGGAAAAGAACAAAACCCTATGGTGAGTAAGGGAAAGGCATTTGATGAACTTGCTGCCCGCCAAGAGTGCACTATCCAGCATGATCCAGGACGCCTTTATTCCTTTTACCTTCCCATATCTCACTTGGCACTGGAGTGTCTGATTAAATAGGAAGGAACTCTGGAAACACCACAAAGAAAATTCAACAGGCTTCATGCATACCTGGCTAGGGATTTTTATAGTCTTAATTAAGAGGATGCCTAGGAGTTCCAGGGAGGAGAAAATATTTCCCATAATGTCTGAGAGCAGAAGTTAACAAGCCTGCTGGGATCATTTTAGCCCCTTCAGAGCTAAGGCTTCAACATTATTAAATGGCTGTCGCATCTGAAGTATGGTGCAACATAACTCGACACACGAGAGAAAGTGCAGGATGCTGAAATGGGGGATGATTTTACATTACGTCGCAGAGTAATTCAATTTCAGGACAGGTGTTTGCATGTGACTGAACAAGATACGACTGTGGAAAACAATAAAGGTACCCAAAAGAAAAGAGAAGACACACACATCAGGCTGGGCTCCCAAATAGCAAAAAAGTCTCAAACAAAACTACATGCTTCAAGACTTTCTGGTTCAGCATGATTATCCAAAGTAGATGAGTTGTCAAAAAATACAGATGCTACAGAAGGAGGGAAACACTTTCTTCGGATGGTGGTACTCCTCAGAAGACACAGTACCTGCTGGCAATTTTTAAGCACATAGCCAGTGACTCAGTAATTGTTAGCAACCAAGGCCAAGTCCCAGGGACTTTCTTACAGTGACACAAGTTACTTTCTTATTGCTCCTAATGCACTTGAGTACATCCAAAAAGCTTATCTTAAAGCCTTTCCCTACACCATCAGCAGCTGCCTCCCATTGCAACCAGAGATTGAAAGGATTATGCTGTATTTGATGAGACTTTAAGGTGTACGTTCCAGGTTTGCCTGCTTAGAAATATTTCACCAAGCCTAACCCTTAAAATACATGCATGTTAAGAGTTGGAAGACTACTAGTTTTCTTTTTACAGATACAAATTTTTAGGATATTTGGAAAGGACCTGTTCTCAGCCATTGCTATGCATCAATGCAAGACACACTATACAGAATATCTAACTTCCTAGACCACATTTCTTTTAAAACCAAACCACAGTACCACGATGTTGCTCTTCAAAAGGGATCACTTTATGACATCCTAATTCATTCTCCAAGCGATCAAGGTCTTCCCTGACTTCAGTAAAGGTGTTAGGTGTCCACCTACCAAACAGAATTGTGTGGAAAGTGGCTCCACAAAAATGTAATATGAACATACATGACCAGGCAGACAAAACCCACGACTCTTACTTACTGTTACCCACCCTGAATTAGCAGCATATGACATGACGTATTTACCAGGTCAAACAAGTCTCCCTATATGAATAATGCATGATGTGTATAGCCCACAACATTTTGTACAAACAGAATTGGCAAGATTTTCCAAAAGTGCTGTAGCTGGCCTTGGAGTCCAAGTCACGATGGTTCTATGCACCTCTAACTGAAATATGTGGTCCAAAGTGACACAGACAATTTGGAAGGAAAAGGAAAAAAGTACTTATTATGATAATTACTGCTCTAAAAAAAAAGCTGACTTCATTCGTCATCTTTTGCACACCACGTGCAACTTGTCCAGCCTAAACAATACACAGACATTTTGTTATGTCGGCTTAAAAAACCAGACTAAATGATCAGTGATGACACTGAAATCCAAAGTGCGGCGGAGAATCCTGATGCTCCAACTGTATAACCTATATTAATACTTAGAAAAATGTGCAAAGAACTATTCAGTGCAATCAAAATGCGAAACCACCAGAACCAGTTAACCTCTCTTACCATACGGACAATTTCACTGGCAAACAATCATAGTTCAATGATTTAAAGCAAGCAATTTCCAATCTAAGTAGAAAGCAGTGTTTGTATGAAAGAGGCTGTTAAGCCCTTGACTGGCCTTCAATTTTGCTGAATTCCTTGAAATTCTGTTCAGTACCAAATCCCACCGCTAAGAGATTTCCTTGGGCAGGAGAAACTTCATTTTTGCCCCCCTTTAATAAACTACACTGTATCAAACAGCAGTTTATATAATGTAAATGCTAAATTGAGCACTAATATCATGGGGTTTGGGTGCTTTCTTTGATAAGTATCATGTGAGGAAAGGGAAAAAACAACACATGAAACAGTAAAAGAGATGACATCCAGTTCCATTTCAGAGGCTACACCTTGCGCTCAGTAATTTGCCAGAACAGTAAGGAGACCAAAAGCTCGACTCCGTTGGGCTCTCAACATCTTCTTCAACCCCATGTCTCCCACCGACCACATTGCATTCCCGCCTTGCAAGCTGTGACCCTAATGCAGAAGGTCAAATAGCTTCAATGAGATCTCCGAGTGGCGCTGGTGAGCAAGGACGCCTGCAGCTGCTCTGGTCTCTGCGGGAGGTGGCAGTAGGAGAACCGGTGTTGTCCCCGAGAACCTCCAGAGGTCAAAAGAAAAATTCATTGCTGAACGTATGTTTATCCCAGACACATAAAATCTGGACAAAAGTGACAAAAAAACATTGCAAAACGCTCCACAAAGATTAAATCTGGCCCTGCCAACACGGTCACCACAGGATCATGTGCCACGTTGGAAGACCCGAGCGAGAACGCTGCGGCCACCTGGCGAAGGCCCTCCTGTGGTGCCAGCTGTCAGCTCCAGCGCCCGACACACTCCCTGCAGGCTCGGGCTTGGGAACAGAAAAACAAGAACACCCTGACAGAGCACAACAGGCATGCACAAGGAGGAAAGAGGAAAAAAACAGCAATCAAGGCCCCTCAAGGCTTTACAGCCACCAGCCAACATGAATTGTGCTTGGGACAGACTGCGGTTCTTGCTCCAGCTGTAAACACCTAGGGACAGGGGCTGATTTTTTATCCCTCTTGCACGGTTTTTAACACATGGGGAGCCTCAGCCAGATCGAGGGCTACGAGGCAGCGACAGGGAGGTGGAAAACACTGCCATACAGCAACATGGCAATGCAGACTACAAGGTGGTCTTTCTTTCCACCTTCCAGTGAGCCCCTTGGCTCATGTTTGCTGCCTGCTCCTTATCAAGCTTTTCAGTTCCCCCTCACACTACTCAATTCCATCGTGCCGTCGCTTAACTTATGCATGTAATTTAAAGCGAGATAGACGGCAGGGAAATTGCTTCCTCTGAGGCCCATACTAATTGACCCCTATCCACAGAGCTCAGCAGTCTTCCCTTAACAGTGCTCACACGCGCTACCACAACACGAAGTGCAAGTTCGGAGGTTGCCAGCACAGCCTCCCTCCCCCGTGGCAATGCCATATGGTGTTAAGATTTTCAGGATCAGATGCTGTTCCTGCTGAAATCAATCATCGCAACCCTATCCCCGGCGAAGGCCATCTCAAACTCCTGCTGGCTTGAAATGCAACTCAGCGAGGTGCCTCGGTTTTGGATGCTGGTATTTACTATTTCAGGTCAGTATGCAAACGTTTACTTTAACAGTGCACATATCAATTAGCGCGGCTGTTAGGAATAAAACAAGTGGCACCAGCTATGACGACAGTAAGCCCAAACAGCAGGTATTTCACATTTGGGCCGAACCCTTCAGACCCTGCCAACCCTCTGCCTGACTTTGCTGCCACGCTAATGAAAACGAGGAGCAGGGCAACCGAGACTCATACGCTGAATCGGGATGGTTTACTTCAAAGAAAGGGGGATGTAAAGCAACGTCAGGCTCCTAATCTTCATAACCTGCAGCAGAAGTTACAGACGCGTATACCAATCAGAGGAAAATAAGTAGTCTCTATGGGTAAATAAAGATTATGTCTCTTTAAACCGACTGTAAATCTGAATGAACACAGAATATACATACACAAGTAGGCAGCGTGCAACATGACGTCAATCTTATTTTTATAGATTTATTATTACCATACATAAAATTTCCTAGTAATAATAACATTCTATGAAAAATACTAGAGCGTTGGGACACTTTTGAGGTGAAAACAGTACAAGAAAAATAGGAAAAAATAATGCAAGTGTTTAAAAAAAAATGCTGGGAGGGTAGCAGTCCATTAAAAATGCAAGGGTCAGGGACTGGAAAGCATTCATGTGAATCTGTCTTCAACTCCGTGTACTAACCTTGAGAGTTATATCCTATGCATTCATTGCACCAGCAGAAGAAGAGATTTAAAGGAAACAGAGAGAAATGGTTTCCGTGGGATCAGCCAGTTTACTGTTTATTGTTATTATTCTCATTTTTCGTTTATTTCATTTTTAAACACAGTTCCGCCCCCTGCCTTCAATCATCTCCGCAACTTGCAGCCACTGTTGAGCACAATCCGCAAATCTTACAAGCGTGTAGTGGAACGTGAGCCCCTCGATCCTCGTCGCGCTTCCTTGGGATCGTGCCTACCAAGGTGATGGGGGATCACCCACGTCGAGCTGGTGCTTTCCTGCAAGCGCAGGCCGGAGGCACCCCCGAAGTTCGCCCTGCGGGGAGGCTGCCCTTGCCCGCCCTCCCGCAGCCACCACTGCTGCTGCAGTGCCCTCATGTAGGCCCTGTCACTCTCCAACACCCTTCCAGCTGGTGGCCTCGCTGCCAAAGCGCCGCCGCTGCACACGTGCTTTAGGCAGCCCCGCTGTCACTCTTTATTAAAAAAAAAAAAAAAAAAAAAAAAAGACGACATAAGGAAAAAAAAACATGTAAGAAAGTTCTTCAGCTTGGGGACTCTTCCTCTCCTACTGACAAACCACTTCTCTGTAAAGAAATTAGCCACATCCCGTGACAAAACTTTGTGATGGGCCACGACCTGCAGAGAAGTGATACCTTACTGACATCCCCCCATCTGGAAAGAGAAACCTGTTCCCTTGGAGTCACCATATAGCGGCAGAGGAGCTTTTGTGTTTACGGACCTGATGGAGCACAAACAGGAGAGACCGAGCGGGGGAGAGAGGGAGTGAAGAAAAGGAGTGAAGGCAGGTGGTTATGAGAGTACACAAGTGGCTAATAAAACCACAGTTTTTACTAGTCACAGTGGTTAAACAATTTTAACGGGAGGCATTCTCATAACATGCCTGAGCAGTTTTTAAGGCTGTCGAGCACCTCTGTCAGGAGCGAGGAAGTTCTGGAAATGTGCTCAGAGATACACACAAACCCATAGGAAGATCTGATAATGTACAAATTCGTTTCTTCCAGAGATAGCTCACTTTCTGCACAAATCGATAAGCCATCAGAACCTATCATTTATCACAAACATTAAATCCCAGCAGCATCTTGGTTTGCAAGCCTAATGAGGGAACCTGGTACACAAAGGCCCCTGGTGCTGGGGGGATTCTCCACGTTCAGAGAGAAGTCTCTTTTAGGCTGTACTCAGCATTTTAATCCATCATTAACAGACCGGGGCATTAAGCATCATCTCTGCGACTTGCTACAAAACCAACAAAGGCATGTTATTGAGAAAAACGAGTTGAAAACCCCATCTAGTTTCTCGCACCAGGGAAGTACATCCTGGTTTTTGCATTAGTGGTGCTGGGTCACCATACATTCCCAAAAAAAGAGGTGAGAGGATGCGGTGCTATAAATCAAACTTTCAGCAAGGACAGCTCACTCTTGCGAGGAGGAATTAATGAGTTGGTTTGATGAGGCTGGTTAGGAAAGAGTTAATGGTATCAGCCAATGTCAGCTAAACCCCCAAATGTTGCTTTTGTCCCATGGCAGTGTCAATCCCAACGCCCTGATCTCCATTTATTTAACACGGATCAAATTAATGGGCTCTTGGTGCTGCTTTTTTCCCTGGAATCCCTCATCCCACCTTCTTGGAGAGAACTCCCGCAAGCAACATAAGGGAACAAACCGCTCTGCACACACGCGCACGCACGCACGCACACAGAGGGGAAGTTGCAATTTCTGTGACTACACTTAGTTGCTAATTTCTGTGACTACAAACCTCGATGTCACCCAGTACACGCTACTCCTCTGTACTAAATCCATCATCCTCGACACCTTCAGACGCATCCGATCTGCGTGTCTAACCAGCAACACTATAATTTTAATAATGACAAGGGATTAAGCATGATGACTAGTCCTTCCTCTCGCTTGTTTCCTTCGCCTAGTGATACCAACCAATTGCCGTTTTCCTCCCAGTTGTGTATTTTGGCTCCCATTGTCTGTCCTACCCAAGACATTAACCGAAATGTCTGCGACATGAGACCTGCCTGTCTCTCGCACGTCTAGCGAACCTGAAAACCTGTCTTTGGGAAATGCAATACGTTGTCAGTTCTGAGGGCACATCGTAAAAATAACCGTACGTACAGGTCAGTCAGAAATCTGTCATACCTGTGCTATTTTTCCATCGTGTTTTATACACCATGAGCAGGTTATTTCGTAAGAGATATTGCCAAAGAGATTACTCGGGCACGTTTCACCGGCTGCCGGGCTCTACGGCCAGTCGTCTGTCTTGGACAAACTGCCGCCGGCCAACCTGGAGGCGAACTCGCCATCACTTTCCCCTGCACTTCCGACGGCGGGAGCCGGGCGCTCGAGCTCACACCTCCCCTTCCCCACCTCCCCTTCCCTGCGAACCGCCCCGGGTCGTCACGATCGCCATGGAAAAACAAAACAAAACAAAACGAAAAAAACAAAAGGAGAGGAAGAAACCAGAGACAGCCAGCAGTCTTATAGGAACGGCACGGCAGGTAAACCAGGCGAGCAGCGTCCCGCACCGGC